AAATATATTAAATGTTGCATTAATATAATGGTAGACTAACTATCTTATAAAATAATATTTATTATATTTTTAATATAATTATATATGTAGTTAACCCAAAACTATGAGCACTCCAATATGAAAAATGAATTCTATACTTAAAAGGAGACTACATGAAATCAAATTTTAATTAATATATCATTAATGCCATCTTTAATATATTATAATATTATTATATACGTATATGTATATATATTATATTATTTATTATTTATATACGTGAGCTTCACTTGAAATCAACATTCATTTACTTACATAATTATGTTATAAATACATTATATATAAAAATAAAATGTGGAGAAAGATGAGAAATGTTCAATTTATCATTTTGTCCTTATATAACATCGTTAATATTTTCATTCAAAAATTATAAATTTTGCGTTTAATTAATTAATAGTTAATAATATAATTATTTAAATACAAATGGCAATAAATTGAAAAGAAAAAAGTGATTAAATGTGATCAACAGTTAAGGAGGGAAAGAATCGATGATGGGAGAAATCATCCATCAATTTTAAAAACCTTACTAATTACTCCTAATAATTGGAAGTTACTTACACTTCCCATATTTACATCTACACACTAAATACAAACTTTATGTCTTAATTACACATTTTCACTAAATCCAATCTTTTAAGTATTAATAAAAATTAATATTATGTGTTCTAAAAAATAATTAATATAGTATTGGGTATTTATTATTACATGTTCATTTTTATATAAGCATAAAAATTGGTGGTAATCATGTTACTTACTATATATAAATATATAAAGAAAAGAAAAATATTTTTATCTCAGTACATTTAAATGAAGAATTTTATTCTTCCATTTGTATTAATCCCATTCAAAAGAAAAGGAAAACTTTTGTCTAAGATTTTTCACTTCAATATCTATTTTGAACGTAACTTTTGTTTCTAATTTAAAATAACTGCTATGGATTAATATGATGAGCATGATTAATATGTATTTTCTTTTGTTTCTAAATATGATTAGATAATATATATAATTTTTATTTTTTTAGGTAAAAATGTTTATGGTACAAACAATATAAGTAATTTTTTAATTTGAAAATTATTAGTTTACTTATACGTAAACAACTTAATCAAATGTACATCTTTTAATTTGATTTTTCTTTGTGTTTGTTTGTACTACAAAATTAATTAATGTCGCGGTCATAAACAAATCATTATATTTCAATTTATTCAACATTTTCACTTTATGTACGTAATTTTCATAAAATTTGTACTTATATGTATATTCTTTAACACTTTTAATTTTTTCTTATAACATTATTAAGTGTCTTACTTTAAAAATATTACGCATATCATTCATTCCGCATATAAGACATACAACGCACGTACTTACTACTAGTTCTTGATGAAAAGTATAAATTAGTATGCATGTGCCTAGAATTTCCAGGGGTTACACCAACGCAGAGGGTTTTGTTTTTATTTAGACGAATTATTAATCTTGCTTGACAACTAATCTAGAACGAAAAAATAGATTATTTTCATTTTAATTCTATTATTGAAATTTCAAGAAAAAATGTAATGTTTCTTCTAAACCGGTGATGGTGATGAATATTATTTAACGTATTTAAAGGGACATGGTGTGAGAATTATTTTCAAATTATTTTGACAGTATTACAATAATACCCTTTTTAATTATTTTATTCATGTGAAAGTATTTATAATTACCTAGCCAATAACTCATGCGCACCCAAAAGATAGCGGCCGTGGGTTCCCTGTCATAAAAAAAAAAAGTTTGTATTCTGCTTTTGATCCAACATGCAAAAGTAACACTTTTATGAGGCTTCAAATTTATGTTTTCCAGAATAATAATGACCGACACTTGTTTGTTGTGACTAGTTAAACATGGAAGTAGCATGGAATGCCTATTGAGATTCGTATTATTTTTCAATAGTGGATTCACGTGGTGATTAAATTATGGAAAATTTGCAGCAGCGATTCTCAATCTTTTCATTTTTTGTAATTTTTACAATAACCTTTATTTTGTGCTAACAGAAGTTCCTAACATTTCATAAATATGCACCTGATGTCCATCTGAATGGAAATGTCCAAAACACAGTCAGTTGACCCAGAGAATTAAAAAATCAATATACAATAAAATCATCCAAAAGAGTATCAACATCCAATAAAACTAGGGTTGGGCAAATCTTCCGAATCAAATCGATCGAACCGAACCCGAACCGAACTGAATCGAATCCGACGGTTCTTGTCAAATTAAATACCCGAACGGGTATCTGAATCGAGAACTGACGGGTACGGTTCGATTTTCGGTTCTAGACCGAGAACCGAAGAACCGAATAAGAATCGAATATTTCTAATTTTTTTTATATTAAGTAAATCAAATTATTTTAATTTTAATTTTTTCTAAACAAATTAATAAATTAACAATTTCTAAATCCAAATTTTTGGCCCAATAATTTGTTTTATTTCTAATTTTTTAATTTTTGACCCAATTACCCATTTTATTGTATCATTTCTTAACCCAACAAGATTCAATCCACTAAATAACCCCAAACATCTACAATAAAGTGCATAACGTTGTCTCGACTCTCGCACTCACTCTCGCAACATCGCTAACATTTCAAAACCTATACAATCGTCGGTCGACGCTGTAACCTCCGATCGAAACTATGACCTCCGCTGGTTGAAGTTTTGACCGTAACGATCATTTGAACAAGATAATCTACTAGTTTCTAACATTCCAAAACTATTGAATGTAAGTATTTTTATAATGTTATTATAAATGTTAAAAAATTTAATTATAGTACAGAATCGAACCAAACCGAACCGAACAAAATCGAACCCGAACGGTTCTATAATTATATTTGGACCCAACGGTTTCATTTACTAGATACCCGAAAATTTTGGTTCGATTCGGTTCGGTTCTCTTTAGAACCGAACCGAACAGACCCGCGCTCACCCCGAAATAAAACCATCGTGGTAACAGATAGTTCAAGGAATTTTCTCGATTAACTGACGGTGTTTTGAACGATTTCCATCCAAATAGATCTTAGGTGCATATTATGAAAAGTTAGGGATTTTCGCTGGCACAAAATGAAATATGGAGTAAAGTCTGAAAAACTGAAAAAGTCAGGGCTGCTGCTGCAATTTTCCCTTAAATTATTGCAGTTCCAAGAACCAACATGAGAGAAATTTTCAAGTATTTTTCTCTATAATATAATAAAAAGAATCAGTTATAAGTAAAATGCCGATTGGCGTCGAATATGTCATCACTTGTCCAAAATTATACCTCGCGGTATTAAATTATGAATATAATTCACCAGGTATAACTAGTGGTGATTCGGTGACAATTGATTTGAGCTCGACCACTCAACTTATTTTTTAAAACTCATTTTTTAAAATTTATTTTCAACCATATATTTATGAGATCAACAATTTTTCAATCATACTTTTTTTAATTTTTTCTTTATTTAAAAAAAGCTATTAAAATTTAATTATTAGCCAAACTAAATAGGGGTTTAATTTTTATTCTTACACATAAATGAGGTGGAACATTGCCTGGTCCATTGATGGGACTGAACTCGCGTAATTACTTATAAATTTTTTTCCTTTCCTTTCATATCAGATACACTATTTTTTCGACATTTGCACTTTGATTAGCTAGATATTGTTAAATGTAATGGGTTCATATCATTTCATTGTTCAATAATTTTGAAAAATCAAAAGCTATTTTTGAGATTAAGAAATTACTTTTGAATCTGTTTAGATAAATTTTTGAAAATACTTTATCCGACTAGAAATTTTTTAAAGTAAGTTGATTTAACGTAACTTTCTTAAAAAAACTTTTTTAGAAGAAGTAAAACTGGCCCTTCATCGAAATTCAAACACTTGTTTCGATTATACCGTCATGTTAACATATTGTGACCTTACCTCTCATTATTGTGAAGTAATTTTTTCCCCCACTTTCACATAATCATTTTTCATTTATTTTTTCAAACTATTACAAAGTTGCACAAAAATAACAATAGTAGGAACAATTCTGTCAATAATGATAAAAAGCATAAGATACAGTGACATATAATTTAATTTTTTGAATTATAATTTGCTAGCTTTTGCAAATTAATACTAGATCAATAGACATGGAATCAAAAGACCTCCAATGATGTACCTCCTATGTCACAAAATGTTGTTCATCCAATTAGAAGAAGAAGGAACCAGCCACGGCAGCAGCTACAACACTCGCAGCACTAGTGACGCCAACAATGGTGGCGCTACTATTGGGCGAATCAGCAGGGGAAGCGTTAGGGAAAGCTCCGGCAGGAACAGGCCCACCAACGGGTGCTGCATCATTGTTGTTTGCACCATCAGTGGTGCCAATCACATTGCTATTGGTTCCTTCGTCCAATGCCTCAGCAGGAGCAGAGGCCGGGGTTGAGTATGGCTCAACAGCGGCCGAGGCCAGGCCGATAGTGGCAAAGAAGACAATGAAAAGAACAACAATCTGGCGTGCCATTATTGTTTTTTTTGGTAGAAAGAAATTTTTTGAATTCTTTTTCTCCTTTTTGTTTATGTAGAATGCAGCAATTCCGATGGATCACTGCAATGCAGGGAAATGGAGGGGTGGATGAGTTGATATAGGATGGAGGGTACGGTGGTTATTGCCGAAATGGGGAGAGGAGGGGCTTGGATTTCGGGCCTAAAAATGTCGAGCAGTTTCTTGGACCAAATGTTATTCCAACCACAAAAAGAGCAAGATGTTCATGTCCACAAGATCTCCAAATTATGTTCTACAGTTTGGTTGATTTTTGTGGTATGCAAATAAAAAATTGAAAATCCAATACACACACATATGTATATGTCTATGTATATAAACTTCGATTTCAAATAAATATAAATTGCATCTAAAAGTTTAAGGTGATGGAGGGAAAAAAATTTACTTTGTGTTAAAGTCTATATATATTAATTTATTCAGTTTATGGTGTGCTTTTCTGTGATTAATGTTCAAAGTTACAGTTTTTTCATTGTTTAGCAAAACCATCCTATGTTACCCAAGAGAGATTGAATAACTGAAATCGGGAAAGTTAAATCATACAATGCTAATATCCATATTGATAAAAAAAATTCAAGAATTATCGTAAATCAAAACGCATGAACACACAGGATCTAGCCATTAATTATTCAACACTTCTACATGTTCCTAAGAAGTAACACACAATTGTTTCTTGTTTATGGTCATTAAAAAAGAATAATGTTATTTATACGTCACTGTGTAAATAATGGTGTGTAAAATAGATGGCATGGAAGAGAAAGATTTTAAAAAATACCGAAAGAAAAGAAACACAATTATTATAACCTCTCTCTCTTTCTCTCTCTCTCTCTCTCTCATGTTATCTATTTGTATGCTATTATATACAAAATGAAGTACAATTAGCATTATTCAATTAAAAATAGAGTTAGTGGAGGGAGTTTTGATTCAAGGATGAAAAAGAAAATGAGATTTCATAATTTTATTAGGCCACTCTTCCCTAAAATGCATGCACGTAGGAGAGGCTACCGAATGCCAAATCGAAAAAGGTCTTTATTTTCCCTTTTTTTTGTACAATTGCTTCAAATTTTGAAATATTGCTTCAATTCATATTTTTGGAATTGAAATAAGGTCATTAGTAGATCACGGCAGATACAATTGTCATAGACCTCACAACCACTAGAGAAGGGAACATTTGTGAGTAATCATTAAAATGCTTAATCTTACATCATATAACGAGTAGATATATGAAATAACAAATGCAGTAGCAAATGTTATTCATACAGTAGTAGATCAAGGTATGCAACGAGCACAAGTCATGATAAAAGGTCCCAGTCTCGGAAGAGATGCAATATTGTTTTGATTCTCGAAGACCTTATAATACGAGCTGTTGAAGGCCATGCACTGAATTTGCCAACTTAGCAAAAGAAGAGAAATACTAAAATCGAATAAAATAACATGTGAAATATCAAATAACACAGCCATATGCAAGAGATGTGGTAATCATCAAGGCTCTTATGCAAACATGTAAGAAAGTACTCATGAAATTTATAAGTCAAGAATTGCCATGGCATGGTAATGGAACAGAGAAACAGGACAACAAAAGGCTCCATAGCTTGACAAATGTAATATCATGTAACATGATCAAATAACATTAGTCGAAGAGTTGTTTATTACCAAAATATTTGCCCCTCAATCAAGAAATGGAAACACAATGCATCGAAAAAGGTGATTACTTCAATCATCTTATAAATTCTTGAAATGGATCATTGAGATAAGCTGACAAACATCGACTTACTAAACAACTTAGAGCCGAACATCATCTAACAATTTGCAATCTACAAATTATCAACTCTCTACCTAAACATGTCTCAGTTTACACAACCAAACCATTACACAATTCTACAACACAAGCTTCAAAGGAAAAAAAGAGCAGAGTTTGCGTCATAGACCTGAAGTACATTTCACATAACCCAAGATAATGGAGAGAAATGTTAGATTGACAACTTTTAACTAGAACACAAATTACAAACAAATAGAAGTCCCATTGATAGCAGATGCAGTCTACATTTGAATAACTCATATCCAAACAAAAGATCGAGTTAAACTCATAGCACATCTGCATGACAGTTCTTCCCTTCTATTACATTGACATTCCAATATATATATCTGAAAACAACTTTGCTGGCCCAAAAACCCAATGGGTAGGATTGGACAAGAAAGAAGAATGGACCCAAGGGCCCAAAGCATGACAAGTAGTGCAACGTTCTCCATCCCATAAATGACCCAAAAATGTCAATTGTCATTATATTATGTTAGTCTACAAAATTAATCCAACATTTTCCCACTTGGATTACATAATCTTAATACAAATACTTTCATAGCAACATACATAGCTAAAAACTAATCACACATAACCAACACACCGATATGATACATAGGATATATCTATCAGGCGCTATTAACACAGAAGCATGACAACCATTAATATCATCATTTTGTCACTTATCAAATTACGAAGATACATGGTATCATAAAATAGTGACATACATCCATAATATGCATGAATTACACCAAAAATTCAAGCAATTCTCACAAAACATACCAAGAATAGCAAACTCCCTCTGAAACAAAGAAATTAAGCTCTCAACAATCCCATGTGGGAGATATGTTCTTGAAACGCACAAATAGGTAAGCCTTTAATTAGTGCGTTCGCTAACATTCTGCTCGTAGGCGTGTGTTCAATAGTAATGAGGGACTCTGCAACTTTCTCTTTGACAAAGTAGAACTTGATATCAATATGTTTGGAGTGAGAAGTACTCCTAGTGTTCCGAGAGAAAGATACGATTGCAAAACTGTCACAATATAATTTTAGCGATCTCGAAAAGGAGTCCATAACTCCTAATGTTGAAATGAAGTTCTGTAGCCATATTGCATGACTAGTAGCCTCATAACACGCCACGTACTCTGCCTCCATGGTCGAAGAAGCTGTAAGTGTTTGTTTAACATTTTTCCACGAAACAGCTTCTTCTTCCATAATAAAGATGTACCAAGAAGTGGATTTCTTATCATCCACGCACCCTGCATAATCAGAATCATTGAAAACAACCACTTCAAGAGTGTCGGTATGCCGATATGTCAACATGAGATCCTTAGTACCTTGAAGGTACCTCAAAATTTTCTTAGCCGCTTTCCAGTGGCTTTGACCAGGATCGTTCAAGTATCTACCATATACATTAACCACAAAGGGAATATGAGGACATATGCATACTTGAGCATACATTAGGCTGCCAACAACAGAAGCATAAGGGACTGTTTTCATCTGATCTCTCTGAAAATCATTTTGAGGACATTGTGCCTTCGAGAACTTATCACCCTTCACAATTGGAGTCTTCACAAAAGAACAAGACTGCATATTGAACCTCTTCAAAATACGATCAATGTAAGTACGTTGAGACAATCTGAGAACACCATTGGCCCTATCACGAAGAATCTGTATGCCTAAGACATATGATGTTACACCAAGATCTTTCATGTCAAAATGCCCAAACAATAGTTGTTTTGTCTCAAACAATAAGTCAGTGTCATTAGCAGCAAGCAAGATATCGTCAACATACAAGACTAGAAATATGTACTTGCTCCCACTGACCTTCATATATATACATTGTTCAACAATGTTTTCCTTGAAACTGTTAGCGAGGTACCACTGCTTTGAAGCTTGTTTCAACCTATAAATTGACTTCTGGAGCTTACAAACCATGTTTTCTTTTCCAACTACCTTAAAACTAATAGGTTGAATCATGTTGACATCTTCATTTAAATTTACATTCAAGAAAGCCATTCTTACATCCATTTGATGAAGTTCTAAGTCAAAGTATGCCACAATTGGCATAATGATTCATAAAGAATCTTTAGTCGAAACAGGTGAGAAGGTTTCCTTGTAATCAATACCTTCTCGTTGGCTATAACCCTTAGCTACTAGCTTTTCTTTATATCTTTCCACTTGACTTTTACATCACGCTTGGTTTTGAATACCCATTTGCAGCCAGTAGGTCTACAACCTTTTGATAATTTTACCAAGCTCCACACTTCACTTTGTGACATAGAGTTCATCTCATCATTCATAGCATTCATCTAAAGATTGGATTGAGGACTAGAGATGGCTTCCTTGTAAGTAGTTGGATCTGAGTTGTCATGCTCTTACGAGTAGACAACGTAGTTATTAGACATTGCATGTCTGTGAACTCTTTCTGATCTTCTTAAATGTGCATCTTCTATGGCTACATCCGGAGCTTCTTGTGCTACTTGTTCAACAAGTTCATTCTGAATGGCTATTGAATGCTGAATAGGCACATGGAAAATAATTGGGTATTGACTGAACACAATTTTTCTAAGCCCTTGGCTTGTACCAGTGTCATCCTCGAAATAGATTGCCCGATCTAATTTAATAACTCTAGTAGTATGCAATGGACAGTAGAACCTAGATCCCCTCGATCCCACACAATAACCAATAAAGTAGCCGCTGAAGGTCTTAAGGTCAAGTTTTTTGGATTGCAGATTGTAGGGTCTTACTTTTGCTTTACAACCCCAAACATGAAAATGACGCAAAGTGGGTTGCTTCTGTGACCACAACTCATAAGGAGTCTTGGGAACAGACTTATTAGGCACCTGATTCAAAATATAAGCTGCAATTCTCAAAGCATCACCCCATAGGAACTCTGACAAGGAAGAGTTTGCCAACATACATCGCACCATGTCAAGAAGTGTGCAATTTCTTATTTTCGCAACTCCATTTTGCTGAGGTGTACCAGGTTGAGCATCAATGCCACATTCCTGTAGGTATCTTGCAAAAAGTTCGGGGTTCTGTCTCGTTTCATCATATCTCCCATAATACTTACCACATCTATCAGAACGAACTACTTTGATCTTTTTCCCTTATTGAAACTCTACCTTTGCTTTGAAGGCTTTAAAGGCCTCCAAAGAATCAG